TGGCCTTTACATTGGTCCAACATTCTCAGCGGAACCTAACAGTCTATGGATTGACTTGCTTCCATGTATCTATACAAATGTACCAACACAGGATGTGACCACCATAATCTTACACAACTGTGTGACTAAAATAGGTCCTTCCGACAAGCTCCTTTCGTCTTGATTAAAATAAGGAGAGAAGATCTGAACTACCTAAGTAGATATGTCCTTAATTAGCCGCCATGCCAGAGAAAGATAGGAAACTGGGGCAATAAGTCGGCTCAACAGGTAAAAGGGCACTGGCCTAGAAACATGACTACCTGAGTTTACCCCAACCCCTACCCACATGGTGGAAGGAGAGAACCAACTCCATCAAACTGTCCTACACAAAGAGACACTAAAAAAATAAAGATGCGATGATACACACCTGTAACTCAGAATCCCTGCACTCAGGAGGCTGAGGCAAAGAGTCACAAGTTCAAGGGTAGCCTGGGCTATACACAGCAAGTCCCACCCCCTCATTGCCCACACTCCACTTAAAAAAATATTAAAACAAGGAGCTGGCAAGATGGCTCAGATGGTGCTAGCTATACAAGTCTGATGGCTGAGTTTGAACCACAAAAGTAGAGTCAGAGAACCAGTTCCTGAAGGTTGTCTGCTAACCACTCACGTCTGCTGTGCCCTGAGTACCCCCACATAATAATAATAGGATGATCATGGCAACAATAACAGTTTCATTCTAAAGTAAAGGGGCTGGAGAGAGAACTCATTATTTGCACTGCATCCCAGGCAGTGGCTCCACAGATAAGAACAAAATTTGGGTCACATGTTTTTTCCAATTCCTTTTCCCTTCCTTTGGTCATATATTCATTCTCATGTTCTCTGGTCCTAGTTCCCCTGCTCAGTGCTAAGAATACAGACCTGACCAGGACACAGACCCTGCCATCCAGGAGACCTAAATTTATCTTCACTTGTGAAATATTCCTACCTGGCTGAGGTGAGTATCACCTAAGATGTATGAAAGAACAGGATAGAAGGCACTTATCTGACAGTTACCACTGATCAGATTTATATGGTTTATAACAGAAACCAGCCTCAAGTTGAGGCCTACCAACAAGAATCTCCCAAACTTCCTGGACACCTGCATAGGTAGTACTTTGTTAGTTCCCCAAGAAAGATGATCATATGCCTCAGTCTCTCCTCTTGTTCCTTCCTGTTCTTCCCTTCTTTTACCAACACCCCCCTTTTGGTTTTTGTTATTGTGTTTATTTTTTTTTTCCAAGACAGGGTTTCTCTGTGTAGCCCTAGTTGTCCTGGAACTAGCTATGTACACCAGACTGGCTTCAAACTCACAGAGACCACCCTGCCTCTGCCTCCTAATCTTATACCTTACTCCTGCCTCAGTTCCTCCCTGGTCAGTTTACATACCTCTGTTTATGCTGCTGCTCAGAATGTCCTTTCAAAACCCAAATGGATAAGATCTTCTACTATAAAGAAGCACCAATGGCTTCTCTACATATCCAGGGCAAGGTCCAAAGGCTAGAAGCCACTCTCCAAGATTACATACAACGTATCCTGCAGTGACATTTTGTTTGTAACCTAACAAATAAAACTTGCCTGGAGATGAGAGTGCAGAGGTGAGCCACTAGTTAACCACAGAGGCCAGGAAGCAGTAGCACACACCTTTAATCCCAGTACTCAAGAGACAGAAGAAGACGATCAATCCAAGAGAAACAGAGCCAGGCGGTGGTGGCTCACACCTTTAATCCCAGCACCTGGGAGTCACACACCTTTTATCCCAGCACAAGGGAGGTGAAGACAGAAAGGGATATGGCTGGGCAGAGAGAGGAATATAAAGCAGGAGGAGACAGGAGCTCAGTGCGGTCTGAGGAGTCATAAAGACAGGATCGTCCCTTTGGTCTGAGCATTGGTAGAGGTAGGAACTAGTGGCTGGCCACTCTGCTTCTCTGATCTTTCAGCATCAACCCCTATATGTGACTCTGGGTTTTTATTATTAAGAACAATTCGAATTCATGCTACAGTGTCCTGTCTCAGACTCCTACTGGGAGGCATTCTTGCTGCTCCTCAACACACTAAACCCTTGGTGACCCACTTCATTCTCCTTCCTCCACAGAGCCTCCTCCCTTCGCTCCAGACAAGAAGCTCCCCCACCTCTCGTAACCTCAATCCTTTAAACATACTTCACCACTGACTTCTAGAATTACTCCTGGCCCTGCCCAGCCCCACATTTCCAATCCTGAATTCTCCCAGGAAGACAGGCTGTGTTTTCTCAGCTCTGCTGCTCAGAGTCCAAACGCAGTCCTGATTCAGTAAATAAATGGTACATATGTGGTGGTGGTAAAACCCACAGCAGCATCTGAGGAAGTGGGTTAGGTCCTAGGACAAGAACACACAACTATGAGACCTTAGGACAATAAAAAGAAGAGAAGCCTGTACCCTCACAGGCAAACTCAAAGAGACAGACACCACTTTGAAGAAAGTTATTTCGGCTGAGGTTGCTTTCTCTCTACAAGCATCTTGAGAGCCCATTCAGTCACCTCTACAACTGCAGAAACTAAGCTAGCCCTCAACCAGGAGCTCTGAGCTATTGATCTCTTACCATATGGCAGCTGCTGTGCTCTGCATCCTATGGGATGGGGAGGATGTACACGGACACTCTCCTCCACTCCACTGTACAGAGGCCAGCTTTCAAACATGCAGACTGGCAAAAACCAGGACTAATTACCGCCGGGGAAAGAGGACCCTGATTAAGGGAGAGTTGTCAGAGAAAAGAGCTGATTAAGGAGCACAGCCCTACTCTCCGTCTCCACAGCTACAACTGGTGTCCGGCCCACAGATGGACTGCACCCCCCCCCCCCAAGAGAGCAGCCAGATGCTTAACACTCTTACTAATGATTAGTACTTGCTTCAGAATAACACCCTTCAAAAGCTTTCCATCCACTCAGAATACAAACTCTGTCAGCCATTCAAGACCCACACCCTCCTTTTATTTACTCCAGTCTCCCCTCAATCACTACGTTCCAGAGACAGAGATCTTTCAATTTCTTAAATCTTGCCAACTTTCCAGCCATCCCTGTGCTGTCCTCCCAGCAGGGAAAAAGTCCCCCAAAGGTGGTTCCTTCAAAAAAACTCGGTTCCGCCGGGCGGTGGTGGTGCATGCCTTTAATCCCAGCACTTGGGAGGCAGAGGCAGGCGGATCTCTGGGAGTTCGAGACCAGCCTGGTCTACAAGAGCTAGTTCCAGGACAGGCTCCAAAACCACAGAGAAACCCTGTCTCGGAAAAAAACAAAACAAAACAAAACAAAAAACAAAAAACCAAACCTCAGTTCCAACTATAACCTTCTAAAGACCATCCTACCCAAACAGCACCCTTCCTGCTCACTGTGAACCAACTTTTTCTCGCTGAATGCTCACCACTGACATCTCCAAAAGGGTCACTTTCTTCCCTTAGTGTCTTGCCCAACCTAGCTATCTCTTTTAGAGACAGGGTCTCTCTGGGCAGCCAGGTTGGTCCTCTAACTGCTCCATAAACAAGGACGACCTTGACCCTCCTGCCTCTGCCTCCCAGGTGCTGGGTTACAGGCCTACAGGGACGGGCACAACCAGTCTCTCTCTCTAAAGTGGAGGCTCTTTGGTTTCCCTCTATGAATCTGACTGGATGCACTGGGTGCTCAGAAGTTCCAGAATGGTTGCTATCAGTGAGGAGCATCCTCAGGACAGACCATCAATCATATCATGAGAAAATATCAAGCAGATGTTCACAACGTTAGTTAAGACCCTGCCATGTGCTAGGTATTAGATATCCTTCCGGAAGGACAAACCCACTAGTTCCCAATCCCAGAACAAACTTCCCTGAGAACTTTTTAGGTTAAACACTTGCTGTATGACTCCTAAACCCCCTCTCACCTTTGGCCCACCTTCAAAGGAAGAACTGCCACGCTATGATTCATGCTCACACTGCTGTGACCAAAAAAAAAACAAGAGCATCTGCCTGGCGGTGGTGACGCATGCCTTTCTTTAACCAGTGCAGGTGGACCTCAGGGAGTTCGAGACTAGCCTGATCCACAAAGCGAGTGCTGTTACGCAGAGAAACCCTATCTTAAAACACACCCTCATACACACCCCAAGAAAAAAGCGGAATGTTTTGACATTCTTTATCGTCACTAAAGCGTTCTCACATTCATTTCCGTGAGAGAACCACAAGGCACTTTTCTAGACAGACTCACAACAGGAAGTAAATAGCAATCACAACAGGGCTGAACTGGGCCAATTGAGGCAGAGTTCGCCTTCTTTCTAATTCAGGAAGGGCAAGAAAGTAGTGGTGAGTCACAGAGGTCAGGCTTACAATACGGAAGCTCCGAAAAGGCAGGGGTGTGAGGAAAGCAAAAGAGAACCACTGGGATAGTGACATCTTGGGCCTCACAGAGGCCAGATCCTACCTAGTGGGTGCGGAAAATGAGGTCTCAAACTTGTCCAGTTTCACTCAACAAGTGAACAGAGTGGGTACCAGAGGGTCTCCTCACTCCCCAATCCTCTTTTCTCTCCATAAAGTCTCCAGACCAGACTCCAGGGCTCGGAGGAGGGCAGAGGTGTACCGAGACACATAAATGATAGGGTGCGGAAACGAAATAAGCCAGGGTGGGAGTGGACGCAGTGGCTGGTAAGGTGGGTGAGGCCGGAGAGAGAAGAACACAGTTAAGACAGTGGAACAGACTGAGCACGGAGTTAACGTGCTGTGAGATCTGGGTCAGGAAAGGCCTGATACGGTAGGGAAGAGTTTGAAAGGAGCCCGATGGAGGAAGAGAGCCGGCTCAAGGAGACACAGGAGTCTGGTGGAAAGGGGTCCCTGGCCGGGAGAGGTACCATAAGCAGTCTAGCCGAAGAGTTCCAGGGTTGAAGGAGACCCCCCCACCCCGAAACGAGTCAGACAAAGTGGAGTCCGGGCCTGGGGAGCCTTAGGAGAGGAAGTGGAGAGTCTGATGGGGTCGGGGCAGCCTCACCGCGCTTGTTTTTGGTGCCGTGCTTCTTGGCAGCCGTCAGCTCCTGTTCGATCTTCTTCTCTAGGAACTCCTGTTTCTTGCTAAGCATCTCCTCCGTGTCCCGAAGCCGCTGGATGGCCTCCTGGGGGGACGGGCCGCCCTTGCTCCCCCTACCCCCTCCAGCCCCGAACAGCTTCCCCAAGACCGACATGGTTGCTGCTCGCCGCGCCGGCCTCCGGCGCCTGCTCCGGCTCGACTCAGCTCCGGCGCCCGCTCCCGGCCCCGCCGCTCCCCGCAGCCGCAGGCCTCGCCTTCACCTCCGCCCCGCAGCTGGGCCCGGCCGCGCAACCTCCCACAAGCCCCCACGCCCGGGCCGGGCCGGCCGTCAGGGCAACGCGCCGCTGACTACAGCTCCCAGAACATCACGCGCCCGCAGCCCCTCGAGTCTAAGGGAGCACCGTGCGCTGCATGCCGGGAGTCCGAGTCTTCCGGCTCGTGGCGTACGACGGCGCACCTTTTTAGTCTCGCCGAGGTCAAAGGGCAAGGTGGCATGCTGGGAAACGTAGTCTTCTTGGCATGTGTTCCGTAGAGGCGGAAGAACAGGGAGAGAAACAGCTTTTTTTTTGTTTGTTTGTTTTTTGTTTTTCGAGACAGGGTTTCTCTGTGGTTTTGGAGCCTGTGCTGGAACTAGCTCTTGTAGACCAGGCTGGTCTCGAACTCCCAGAGATCCGCCTGCCTCTGCCTCCCGAGTGCTGGGATTAAAGGCTTGCGCCACCACCGCCTGGCTGAGAAACAGCTATTACAAAGAGAGAGTTTCGTAGTGTTGCGCCGTGGTAGAGGCCTGGGCTTCATTCCCAGCCCCCAAAGCACATGATCACATCTGATTCTCATAAGCAGTTTATGGCAAATAATGCTGTTGCTCTTTTGGAGTCAGGTTTTCATACGTAGCCTAAGCTGGCCTTGAACTCCTAACGTAGCAGAAGCTAGCCTTGAATCTTGATCTTGTCTCTACTCTTGGAGTTCTGGAATTAAAGGTCTGTGCCTGCTATTCCTATTTTATAGGTAAGTGAATGAAGATCTGGAAACTGACAACTAACTTACTTTACCAGCCCAGTTAGTTCTTTATTTGGGTGGGCGGTCTTTCTACCCTTCATTCACCTCACAGGCTTTCCAAAACCTATGACCCTAGCCACCTTGGCAGTGGATTCAACTCCAAAACTTCAAGTCAGCCTTGAATACTCGCTTGGAGCAGGTACTTCTTCCTTTCCACAACTGTAAATATGAAATTGTCACAGGTGTTATGGGAATAGTAAACCGGCGCTGTTCCCCGGGGCAGCCAGATCCAGCCCAGAGTCCATCAGAAGAGGCTGGTGAGTGAAGAAAGAAACCTCAGAGAATGTGGGAGCGTCTTTTTCTTAACTGTCTCAGATAGAAAGGTCTTAGCTTCGCCAGTGGCATGGCTTCCCTCTGAACCCTGAGCTGCCTAGCGGCTGGTCCCAGGGCTGCCATAGAAACTCTGTCTCAGAAAACTATAGCAAAATAGAACAAACAAATGTTAAAACGAGCCAGGCGGTGGTAGCGGCGCACATCCTTAATCCTAGCACTCGGGAAGCAGAGGCAAACAGATCTCTATGAGTTCCAGGACAGCCAGGGCTACACAGAAAAATCCCTGTCTTAAAACAAAAACAAAAAAGTGTTGAAGCTACGTGGAAACAAAAAGCACAACATGTGTTACCTTGAATGAAAGAAGCTAGGCCCCAAACTCTCTCAAGTGCTGGAATTAGAGACACGAAACACCATGCCATGTGGAATATCTTTTTTTCCCCCTTTTCCAGTGCTAGGGATTGAGCCCAGGGCCTTTCCTGTGCTGAGAAAGAACTTTCCCACTGATCTAAATCCTCCGTTCCTACAAATCTTTTTCTTTTATACCTAAAATAATGCTGCTTACATCTTCAATCCCTGCACTCGGGAGGCAGAGACAGGTGGATCTCTGTGAGTTTGAGGCCAGCCTGGTCTACATACCCAGTTCTAGGTCATATGGGGCTAAATAGTGAAATCTGTGCAGATTCAGCAATGGGGATAAGACAGACCCAAGCTGAGGGGAGTGAGGAGATGTGAGCTGGAGGGGGCCACTTCTTGAGACAGTGGTGGGTTCAGCGAGTCTGTGTAAGCCAAGTGACAACACAAGGGACTATAGAGCTCACCTCACCGTAGTGTATCCTTCAAGGTCACAGGGACTATAGGCCCTACCACCTGGAAGCAGTTACCAAAGATGACAGCTCCTGCCCTTCAGCCTCTGGTAACAGTTTGATACTCTCTGGATCGTGTGTCTCAGGGAGGAGCCATGCAGGAAGAAGGCCACAAAGGAATGATTGTGAAGTACAGTAACTCAGCTCTAGAGTCCAACAACCAAGAAAGGCCAGCACTTGGACTTTGGGGACCATCTTGAGGTTATAGAAACTCTTCCAGCAAACATAGGAAATCATTCCCTATAATTACTAGAAGATTGGTCTGCCCTTTTAATAAACTCTCCCTTTTTAATGAAGACCTATGGATTCAAACAGAGTTCTTAAGCAGCCTGCTTGAGTCCACTCCGGTCCTGTGGATGTATTCTATGCTGTCATTCTCAAGTTCAATAAATGTATATATACTCTCAGAAAAAAAAAGTTCTTTGAGAGGAAGAGAATATTCTGGATTATCCAGTTGGACATGGTGTAATTACATGAAGAAGGACCGGAATACAAGATGCTCCTCCTGGCTTTGAAAGTAAGGAAAGGTGTCTCAAAAAATAAAAGTAAAAATAAACAAAATAGAGTTAAAATAAAGCCACACAAAGATGGAAAATAAACAGAATTTTGATACTGTGTGCTATTATGCTCTCTTTGAATTGTTTTGTTGGACTCTAGCGTCCAAACACCGAGAAGCAGTCGCCCCCAGAGACCACCTCACACACCACAGCCGATGAAAAAGCATGAGGATTTTATTTATTCTGTCATGACAGGGTCCCCCAGCATTCGGGAAGCCGAGGGACCTCGAATAGCTGGTACAGTCTATTTTTAAAGGGGCCACAGAAGCAAGGGGGGGTTGTTCTTTGACTATTCTGATTGGCTTATTCGAAAGGGCTATTACCAATAATTGACTGGACACCTGTTGCCAGATCAGGGGACCGAACCAAAACATACGTATATGGGTAATTGTTCAGGAACTGAGTATGTGCGAGTGTAGCTGTTAGGTCCTTGGTTCCCAGGGGAGGAGGGGAAGCACTATGGCAGAGGCTGAGAGGATTCAGAATTGTCAAAAATGGTTTCAGGATTGTCTTAAAGTCTTACATTCCCTCCTCTTATTTGGTCAAATATCTCAATCTTGAGATATTAGTAAATTTGAAGGACCAATTGGATCTGTATACAGAAATTAACAAACCAGTGTTATAGACCCATCATAGATCAATAAACTGTCAGATGAGACTATTTTCTCATATTAGGGAGGTCCTGCTGACAAGCATAGCCAACAAGATTGTGTCAAGCTGGGACCAGTACTGTTTAGCAAAGAAAAGACTCCCACTATCAGATTAAACAGTCGCTGGCCTGTATTAGAGCTTGCCAGCAGTGAAGTAGGGGTTGTAGAAGGGTTCTGAGCATTAGGAGTGGGGCCTAGGGCCCTGGCAAGGGGGGCTACCTCAGCAGAAGCTAGCTGGCCCTGGTCAGGTAATACCGGGTTGGGCCCTAGTACTATCGTCATTGGAGGTGTTACAACAATTCACAGGGTGAACAGAATCCCTATGTCTTTTTTTTTTTTTTGGATCATATAACCATAAACCCCAAGTATTGCCTGTTAACCAGTTAGCTCTTTTTTTTTCTTTCAGTGAAAGTGATTGTGATTTTGGATTTTTTTTCTGGTGTGGTACGGGTGAAAGAGACTAAGTCCTTTTTGTTAACCCTCAACCAGGAGACATTGACATTGGTTTTACATTCTCAGGCAGCACAATAAAATATTTTAGGCCCCCCCCATATTACTTTTCCCCCCGGACAAATATGTCATTCAGAATATTTGTATACAGGATAAAAGTTTCTTGGGGTTTGCTCAGTATAAAACATATAGGTCAAAAGTTAGCTGGAGGAACCAGGTATCCAGGGGATGAACTCCAGTGGCTAGCCTTAAGGCTTGTCCAGTCTCAAAGTTAGTCAGGGTCCAGGTTAAGTCCTGAGGTACAAACATCAGGGCAAAGATCAGCAAGCCTGGCAGAATCAGGCCTCCTTGAGAGGATTTTGGGTACGCAGAAGCTTTTATTTGGATGGTCCTGGGTCGTCCTGTGGAGGTGTAGGCTTGACGTGAGATACATGGATCCAGGCTGTAATACCATCCACTTTGAGGGCAGTAGGTGTAGGGTCCCTTTTAGCAAGGTTTAAGGTTTTGGGACCGGTGTCTCCGAATCGCCAACCTGGAACAGGTGTGAGATTTCCGGGTGCCCGGGCTGGTGTTGGGAGGTGCCGGCAGAGAAGCAGGGAGAGTAGCTTAGTCCAGCGGGCAGCAGCAGGGATAGCTAGGGCCCCTTTAGGGAGGGTATAGTTTGGCCGGCAGCAGCAGGCTCTGGTCAGATAAATACCATTTTATATCCCAAGTCTTTTCCGACACCCATGGATACAGTCCTGCTTCTCGCCCCTGGGAGACAAGTGGGGGAGATGTCTGAACCCCCGTGTCCAAATATTTCCTCCAGGGGAAAATCTTTTGCCAGCCTCCAGGGGCAGCTGTGGGGGATATGTATCTCGGATATCCCAGGAGGCTAGCTCTGCCACTAGTTGACAGAAATCAGGGGTGAGGGCAGGGGTATCAAAGCAAGGGCTTGAGAAGGCGTGGATTGCAGGTATGAGCGGGCAGCTGCTGTTCTGGCTGTGGGGTGCTGCAGCTTTTTTCCTGTCCCTCCGGATATACCCCAGGCGTCAATTCTGGAACGAATGCGAGATTTCCAGGTGTCAGGGTGGCCAGGGCTCTCTATGCCTGGGCTCGGAGATCTGGAAAGCCTTCAACCGCGCCTGTAGATGGGGTTTGTGAGCAAATGGGTCATGAGGGGCCTTAGGAAACTAAGAGGGGGGTCCCCCATATTGGATCTCATAGGGGGTTAGTCCAAGCTGAGATGGGGTGTTTCGCATACAGAACAGGGCTAGGGGAAGGAGCTGTACACAGTCTCTAGTGCCAGATTCCAAAGGCTAATTTGGTAAGGGTCTTTATTTATCCTTTTTACCTGTCCTGAACTCTGGGGTCTGTATGTACAATGCAATTTTTCCCAATCTTACCTATGTTCTGACTTTTCTGAGCAACAAGGCAGTTTTACCATCAACCTTGATTACCTTGAGCAGGCCAAACCTCGAGAAGATTTCTTCTTTGATCTTCTT